ACACATAATTACGCAACACGTAATTATGTACATGGAGAGCTGAGTGACAAGATGTTTTTGGGCAAGCTTCTGCTTCATACGGTGTTAGAATGGACCCAGTGAGGCGAGGACCACATCCGCTTTGCGCTTAACCCATCTGCGACAGCCTTAAAGGGCGAAGCCTATACGAAACAGAACGTTGGTTATGTACTGTAACCCCAGATTCTATTAGAATAAGCGTAGCCCTTTAAGCGTCAGGCCTCACTGGCTCCTAAGTGGCTGAAGAAAAAGCTATTTGAGAGCCGATTTCCCGCTCTTAACGTAATTTATACGGACCGGGTGGGGCCCACACAGCAGGTGGGCGTGGACTAAATTTTTCAGTGTAATGCTTCGCATGACGGGATAAACCCACTAAGCGACAGCCTTAAAGGGCTACGCCTATATTCATAGAATCTGGGGTTACAGTACGTAACCAACGTTTTTGGACCAGAGCACCGTAGGAATGAATTTTTCAGTCTTTCTCCCTCCTTGGATGGCATTAATCTGTCCTCCAGCTCTAATGTTAAAAATCTTGGTGTTATTTTTGAACAGGACATGTCTTTTATCCCCCACATTAAAAACGTTACAAGAACTGTCTTCTTCCACCTGCGTAATATCACTAAAATTAGAAACATCTTATCTAAAAATGATGCAGAAAATCTGGTCCAGGCATTTGTCACTTCTAGACTGGACTATTGCAATGGTTTATTATCTGGATGTCCAAATACTTCTTTAAGGTCGTTTTCACACCAGATAGACTGGTAGACTCGGTTTGGTTCGGGACCAATATTCATGACCTTTTGTTTACATTTGAGCTGGTGCGTTTGCATTCACACTGCACTGTGCAGTCGAGTCAACCTGTTGAACCAACCTATTTTCCCGCTCGCCTGTGGGGGCGCTGCACCAAGAACTACTGAAAGAAATGACACAAAAACCTCTGAAGACACTTCTTCTTCTTCTGTAAATAAAAACGAAGTGGCAACAAGTTTTAGCAGTTTTAGGAGTTATATTTAGTCATTTTTCAAAAATGGACTTAGCATGAGCAGAAGATGAGACAGAAGACCATGGAGAATATTGTTTTTCCACAAAAGGCAGCTGACGGCTCCATATGAGCTAAGAGAAATGGTGTTTGTTTGGCCTGCGGAGCGGGCCCGGTCTGTTTACACCCTTAGGGTGCATTCACACCAGTCCTGTTTAGTCCGCTTTAATTGAACTCTAGCTCGTTTTCCTGAAAGTCCGGTTTGTTTGCGGAGGTTTGAACGCGCCATCGAACTCTGTCACAAACAAAAAGGCGAACTCTGGCCCGGGCTAAAACCTAGGTCTCGGTCCGGTAGAAGAGAACTCCAGCGCGGTTCGAGTACAGTGTGAATGTAAACAGACTGGGCCCCGCTCCGCAGGACAAACAAACACGCATTTCTCTTACCTTATATGGAGCCGTCAGCTGCCTTGTGTGAAAAAACAACATTCTCCATGGTCTTCTGTCTCATCTTCTGCTCATGCTAAGTCCATTTTTGAAAAATGACAAAACATAACTCCTAAAACTGCTAAAATTTGATGCCACTCCGTTTTTGTTTTTATTTACAGAAGAAGAAGAAGTGTCTTCAGAGGTTTTTGTGTCGTTTCTTTCAGTAGTTCTTGATGCAGTGCCCCCACAGGCGAGCGGGGGAATAGGTTGGTTCAACAGGTTGACTCGACTGCACAGTGCAGTGTGAATGCAAACGCACCAGCTCAAATGTAAACAAAATGTCATGAATATTGGTCCCGAACCGAACCGAGTCTACAGGACTATCTGGTATGAAAACGACCTTAAACGTCTTCAGTTGATCCAAAATGCTGCTGCCAGAGTCTTAACTGGAGTTAGTAGGAGAGATCATATTTCTCCAGTTTTAGCTTCTCTCCATTGGCTCCCTGTCAAATCTAGAATAGAATTCAAAATCTTACTTCTAACCTACAAAGCTCAACAACCTGGCTCCATCTTATATTACAGATCTTATTGTTCCATATTTTCCTAACAGAGCACTTCGCGCTCAGACTGCAGGTTTACTTGTGGTTCCTAGAATTTACAAAAACAGAATGGGAGGCAGATCTTTCAGTTATCAGGCTCCTCTCTTGTGGAATCAACTTCCAATCTCTGTCCGTGAGGCTGACACATTATCCAGTTTTAAAACTAGGCTTAAGACTTTCCTTTTTGCTAAATCCTTTTAAAAAGGAGTTTTTCCTTTCCACTGTTGCCACTGTGCTTGCTCAGGATGGGAGACTGAAACGAAGCCAAGATTCAACTTGTCCGCTGGATTCCTTAGATACAGAACTTTACTAATTGGCCTTTATGTATGTGAATGTTTCTGCAAACTAAAGTGCCCTGAGACAACTTTGTTGTGACATGGCGCTATATTAATAAACTGAATATGTAAAGAAAAGCATCCTGCATCTCTTCTCACACGGTGCATAAACAACACCAAACTGTGGCACAAGAGTTCTGTTTGTCTTCTGGAAAGGTAACAGGTTCTAATGTGGTTATAGCTGAGCATATTGATTTATAGGTAAGAAAAGCACAACGTTCTTACTTCCTGACGGGGAATAAAAATATAGTCCTTGTTACGTCCACCATGAACATAACACATTAAGGAGGACACGGGACACAAATATGGCGGTTCAAACATTCAATTTATTAAAAAGGCTGCTGCTTCCTGAAAAAAGAGAATATTATGAACCCCCCAATTCCCATGTCCACCCAAGAAACACAAAACCCCAAGTATTAACTTAAAGGTGGACCTGGTGAGCTGGCCAAACCAAACAAAAAGGTACAGCAGCAGGCCAACCCTATACAGGGCAGTCGAAGCCGCTGCTGATACCATACTAAAGCTACAAAAAACCTACGCCCCCCCATTACAAAAGAAGGTGCGAAAACAGGACTACCGGTCCCACCAGGTCAAAATGACTACAAAAAAAACATACAAATAATTAACAAAAATTACCTGAGGTGGCTGAGAGGTTCAAAAACAGAGGGAGTCTGAGAGGAGCGAAAAAAGAAAAAAAAGGGGGGGGGGGAGCGAAAGGGGGAAGTGGAGAAGGGCTCCCTGGGACCAGCCTCTTAAATAGGTGGGGCAGAAAAGGCCACAGCCCAAAGCAATTAAAGGCTAATCAGCCAACCCAAAACCCAAGACATGTCCCAAGGACAAAATAAGGCAATGTGCTCCAGGCACAAAACAGTCCCCATACAGGACAGACTGGAATACTTCAACACTGTGTTTGATGCTGAACCTGACACATCAGGCCCACGTCAAACTGACTGGTCAGGTCAAAAGAACTCACGTCTTCGTCTTGTTTCATCTTTACTGAAGTTGGCAAGAACTTTGACTCAGCTGATCTTGAGTTTTATTTCAGAACACCTCCACGAGGCAGTGGTCTTTGTAAATGTATTGCATCTGGAGTGATTTACCTCTGGCAGGAGGTTGAGGAGCAGTAAGTGTAGAACCAATAGACTGAGGAACAGCTTTTACCCTGAAGCAGTTAGACTTGTGAATATCTAACCTGGATAATCACTGTAATGACACTTTACATGGTGATATGTCACTTTATCTGTGCTGCTGATTTCTTGCCTTTAAGCTGCTGTATTCATACCCATCTGCACACAACAGACTCATGTTCAGGCTGCTGTTTAATACACTGTGTTATATTACATTATTAGTGTATATCTGTTTCTTTTTATACTTTATATTTTTGCTATTTTTTTGTGTAACTGGGACCTTGAGTACAGAGTTGCTCGACCTCATGTACCACAGGTGATGCGAATGACAATAAAGACCCTTGATTTAGCACGACCATACAGAATGAATAGGATATGGTTTAGGAGCATTAAGCTCAAATAAATACATGTATTTCCTCTGCGCGACACCCAGAGGACAGGGGTGTTTCTTTCCCTGATGGGGAGTAAGAAACGTGTTTTTCCTGTCCATTCTCTAAATCAATCAACTCAGTCCTACTTAATATGCATTAAAGTTATCTAAAAGACAAACAAAACACTTGTACATCATGTCAGATTTATTGCACCATGTCCTTGGTGCACCCATGACATCTGCATGAGCAAAGCGCACATGCACTGGTCGGGAATCAAACCCAGGTGTTGGAACTGTCAGACTCATGTTCTACCTGGATCACTGAGGATAAATCAGGATGTTTTGAACCACTTTGGACATAAAGGCATAAAATGAGTCGGCGGGGGAGAGGGCGAACGCCAGAAACCATCTGAGCACCATCAAACTAGTTGATCCACTATGAGAAGGTGCTATTTATAAAACTGAGTTTGTTGCAGCTCCTCAGACTGATGAGGACTTTTGGATGAAAGACGAAATGTTTCAACTAAAATAATCCGTCCAGAGGACCTGACTTAATTTAGTTGTTTTTTTCTACCTGGATTATTGAGCATGAATCAGGATGTAATATTTGATCATTTTCCTCAATAAATAAATGACCAAGTATAATATTTTTGTCTCATTTGTTTACCTGCGTTCTCTATATCCGTTTTTAGGACTCATGTAGAAATCTGATGATGTTTTAGGTCACAAGTTCTAAAGGTTTCACAAACTTTCAAGCACCACCTACATGCTGTTTTCAGCATTCTTCAATGAGAAAATGATGCCTTTGTTTTGCAAATTACTTCACGGTGGTAACCCAAAATGCTAATAAAATAACAGCACACATGATGATGCCGAGCCGCTCGTTTTGATAGTGGGGGTACATGTTGTGGTTCAGGCGGCATTAAAGTTGAAGGAAGAGCATGACCCTTGCGTGTGGATAATAAAAGGTGGCTGCCTTTTAAAACAGTCCATAATTAATTTAGATCTTAATTTGAATAGTCTTTATTTAAAAAACAACTAGAAACTGTAAAAAGTATAACTCTTTTGGTTTTGTTTTTTCTGGTGTAAATTCTGCACATTTTTTTCTGTTTGTTTTTTAACTGTGCATCAATAAAGTTTGTTGAAAAAAAAAAAACCTGATGCTGAACTTCCGGGTTTACGGTCCTCTGTCAGATCAGTGTTCCCCACTCAGTTCGTCTTTCACCGACTCTTTTTCAAACAGTTGTTTTCTTCTTCTAAGTGTTTGATAAAAGAAACATTTTGGGTCAAAAGGAGCCGCTAAAAGAACCCGTCCGGTCCGGACTTCGTGACACCAGGAAACATGTCCGCCTCCGCTGGTTGCTCTCCGTCAGGACGCAGCCCAGGCCTCGGCCCGGCTGTGTCCATGTTCCGGTGGTTGGAGGTTCTGGAAAAGGAGTTCGACAAGGCGTTTGTGGATGTAGACCTGCTGCTCGGAGAGATCGACCCGGACCAGGTGGACATTACCTACGAGGGCCGGCAGAAGATGACCAGCCTGAGCTCCTGCTTCGCCCAGCTCTGTCACAAGAGCCAGACGGTGTTCCAGCTCAACCACAAGCTGGAGGTTCGTGTTTGTGGGTCAGCTCGCCGAACAAAGCCGGGATAGAACTAAAATAACTGTTCGGATGTTTTTATGTAACTGTTCGAGCCTCTGATACTTAAATTATCTGCGCTTCTACACAGTTTTTATGGCCACGCAGGCGGAAACAATGATTTCATGATGCGTTCAGGCGCAACCTGTAAATTCAACCATTAATTTTATAATACCACTTAATATATGAACAAAGGAGGTTAAATGTTCAAACTCTAACCTATATCAACACTAGTACTTTAACATTTTCAAGTTGTGCTTTTTGCTCACGTGTGTCAGCTCAGGAAAAGAGTCTTGTTTTGTTTTTTAGTCACATAAAATGAACCTCCTGTGACTGGAAGCGTCACATCAGCTCCAGAGAAGTGGATGTTTATCAGAGAGCAGTTGATGACCCATCATTACCTGTTAAAGACAGAGACCTCCTCTGTGGGTACCCCTCACAGCTGATTGTGGTCTGCTCAGGAGATCAGCCTCCATGTGGTACTCCACTTCATTAATTCAATTTTTATTTATACAACTTAGTCCCATTGAGCCTCAGGGACTCATTTACAAGAGAGACCTGAAATTAACAGAGTGATGACAACAGTAGACAATCATAAAATAAAGCATACTAACTGAGAAGAACAAGTGAAAGAAAATGTTAAAATAAAACGAACACGGCTAGATTTTAAAGCGGTGTAGAAAACTAAAACCCGGAACATGTCTGCATTGGTTTTTGCCATGAACTTAGCAGATGTTTGAAGACACGTAGAGGATGAGTAGAGGTCAAGGTCGAGAGCTTCAGAACTTTTTGCAAGATATTTCCAGGATACAGGAGCGGAGTAGGAGAAGGTCCTTATGCCTGCTGGTGTCTCAGTCTGTAGGGACGCCCAGCAGTTCCTCAGCTTCTGATAACTTCTTAGTTAAAGTCGCATTAAGTCCATGTTGTGAAACTGAACACATCAGGTAGAAACTGTTGGCAAAACAGGTCTTAAAACTTTTATCTTGGTCATGTCATGCTGACTCCTCTCAAACATCAAATCAGTTTTATCTTTATTTGTCTCAGAAACTGAGATAAAACAATTGTGAAGCAGTTGACTATTGAAGATAAAACAATGGAAGACCGAACACTTAGTAATTTATGACAACAATTAAAGCTGCTGTGTGTCTGTTCTTTGTGACTGCAGTAAATCAGTCCATCCATCCACCCGTTCCAAAGTCAGGTCACTTGTTCAGGTCACAGGGGCAGCATCTCTTTCCATATCCACCTCTTCCAGTTCTTCTGGGAGTACTCCCAAGGCATTCCCAGGTCAACGGAGAGACATGGTCTGTCCAGCGTGTCCTGGGGGTCTCCTCCCAGTTGGACATGCCAAAATCTCCTCAACTGGCTCCTCTTTCCCCCCCCCCACCCCTCTATTCTTTGGTGAAACCAGACGTGTTTCCCTGTCTTTCCCCTCCCACCTGCTTCCCTGCTGCACTATTTTGTCCTGTGAACCCTTAAAAAGCCTCTTTTTTTTTTCTGCATACCTCTTAATTCGAAGGATCAGCTGGTCTCTCAACAAAATTGGTCAATTTCTCCCGACAGGAGTCAGGGTAAGGAAGACCCTCTTACCTCGACAGAAACAAATTGGATTCATGATGACAACTGGCTATTTTGCTGTTTGATTGGTGAATTCTGGATTGTCTACAAATCTGTGTGGATGTGTCGAAGCTCAACAGCACTCAGACTGAATTTGGAGAGCTGCAGCAGGGAGCTGGAGCAGCTGTTATCAGGACTGTGAACTCACTGGCAGCTCTCATGAATGGTGGGAATAATCTTGAAGAACAATGGGCGGCTGTGGCTGAGTGGTTAGAGCAGTCGTCCTGCAATGCGAGAGTTGGGGGTTCGAATCCACCAGTAGTCACATGTCAAAGTGTCCCTGGGCAAGACACTGAATCCCTCGTAGCCTCTGATGTGTGTCCCATCAGTGTATGAATGTGATCTAAAGCACTGATTAGTCTCATTAGAATTATTTTTTCAATTAGCTTTGTAGAGATCTAGTAGAGTGCTGTATGAATGGGTTAATGAGGCACAGATTGTAGTGTAAAGCAATTTGAGTGTCTTGGAATAAGATAGAAAGGCTCTATATAAGTACAGTCCATTTACCATTTGGAGAAGCTGTGAGCTCGACGTTTGGAGTAAAGGATCAATTCGGCTGTTTTGGAGTTTCCATCAGAGGAATATATACCACAAGACATTAAAAAAAGCATAAACAACAATTCACGAGTTCTGCCTGACCCAAACTGTGGCCTTGACACCGGACTTGTGTCAAATCCTCCTGGAATGTTTTGAAAACAACAAAGATGCTTTGACTGTTTCCTCACCCCTCCCTTCCCCAAGGCTGTGGACATGTAACAGAACCTCAACTGAGCTAAAGATGAACGTCACCTCTTATCTGGGCAATGGCAGAGGGGGGCGGCTCTGGACTATGCTACGACTTTCCCTTAAAAATTCAATGTCTTCACCGGCCTATATGTATAACGTCTATTTATGTTGCTTTGCTGTGGTAGGGTTTTTTTGATGCCTTAAATTGTGCCCTGCCTAGGACACGGTGTGAGAGATCTTTTTTTTATACCGTCTCTCCTCATGTTTTCTTCCTTTTTCTCATCTAAGCAAAATATTATTCTGAATAAGAATAAGAAGGCCGTGCTATTTAATAGCCGCAGCTTCGTGCACTCCGCCCATCTTTCGGACGACTGTACGTACATATTCACATTGTATCTCGGTGCAATGCCAATAAAGTTTATTCTGATTTATGTGGAAGAGCAGCGATTCTACTTTGAGTCTCACCTGATAACTGAACTTCTCACCCTGTCTCTAATGGCGAGTCCAACTTCCCTGCAGAGGAAACTCATTTCAACCTGCTGTATCTGTGATCTCATTCTTTCAGTCACTACCCAGAGCTCGTGACCATAGGTGAGGGTAGGAACGTAGACTGACCAGTAAACAGAGAGCTTTGCCTTACAGCTCAGCTCCCTCTTCACCACAACGAACCGGTACAGAGTCTGCAATACTGCAGATGCTGCACCAATCCGTCTGTCAATCTCACGCTCCATTCTTCTCTCACTCATGAACAAAACCCTGAGATACTTGAACTCCTCCACTTGAGGCAGAACTCACCCTTGACCCGAAGAGAGCAATCCACCCTTTTCCAACTGAGGACCATGGCGTCAGACTTGGAGATGCTGATTCTCATCCCAGCCACTTCACACTCTGCTGCGAACCACTCCAGAGAGAGCTGAAGATCACGGCACGATGACGCCAACAGGACCACATCATTTGCAAAGAGCAGAGGTGGAATCCTGAGGCCACTTTTTGAAGAGGTTAACCACCACCCCAATCTGCAATCCAGTGGCACTGCCCCCAATGTCCTGCTTTCCACTCCTCAGCCACCTGATGGTTTGCTAGAATCTCCTCAAATCAGATCAGTGAGAGGTAACTTTATTATTCAGGCAAAACACATCTTCACTAACAGCTTTTGGGGCTAAGTGTCCGTCTGTGTTTTGGATCTGCTTCATTTGTCTCTAATGAATGGATCTGTACCAAGGCTTTAAGGTTGCTGTAATTAAACCTTAACTTAAGGAGTCTGATCTTGATTCAGGAGTTATAACCAATTATAGACCTATGGTGTATCCAGACTACCATTCATTAAAACAATTCTTAAAAGAATAGTTGCAAATCAAGAGTTTCCATCAGGGTTTATAGCACATCATAGCACAGAAACGGCACTAGTAAAAGTCACTAATGATATTCTCATGGCCTCTGACAAAGGACTGGTGTTTACTGGTCCTGTTAGACCTCAGTGCTGCATTTGATACAGATGATCACAGTATTTTACTACAGAGGCTTGAATATGATGTTGGAATTACATGAATGGCTCTAAATTGGTTTAAATTATATTTACCTGATAGATTCCCATTTGTAAATATTAACAAATCCGGTCTACATGCAGTTAGTCATGAAATTCCTCAGGGTTCAGTGCTTGGATCAGTATTTTTTACATTATATTTGCTTCATTTAAGTAACTCTGACCTGGACTGTAGCTTCTTAGGAACACACTTATCAGCCTTTCACTTCCTCTGGATATCACCAGTTTAGCCTCCAGTTCTAATGTAAAGAACCTTCGTGTTACTTTTGATCAGGATATGTCTTTTAACTCCTATTTTAAAAATGTCACCAGGATCTCTTTCCTCCGCCTGAATGATATCACTTAAATTATTATTAAACTTTTTATTTTACCAGGGGGAAGATCCCATTGAGATGAAAACTCCCTTTTTCAAGGGATTCCTGGGCAAAATGGGCAGCAGCAAGTACAATTAAGTTACATAGCTACGCATTAAATTACAAAAGGGAATGAGAGACATGAGAATATGAAATGCATTACCACAAACTAAAAATAACATGTATAGTACATGTAATGGAATTAAGCACAAATCTGCTCAGTATCAATTTAAAAGCCCTCAGAGATGCCAACTATATGTTAATTTCCAGTCATTCTGTCACATTATTTCATGCAAAAGGTGCAGAATAAACATCTTTTTACCCATTTCAGTACAGGCAAATGGAATTGAAAGCAACAAAACATCACATGAACAGAGAGTAGAAACAGCACTTTTCTGTACAATTAGATTACACGTGTTCAAAGGTAGTAGTCTAAGTACTGCCTTATACCAAATACATACATACATACAATTACAAATGACTGTTCCTTCTAGTGACCAGAGCAGACCATCCCACAGGAGGGTATTGTTAGGATAATTTAATATTGTCCCTTAATAGCTCATTAAATAAATATGCCACACAGGAGAGAAGATATTTTTTCCCAGGTTTTAATCTTGCAAGATGGAACAGCGTTGAAATCCAAGCAGGCAACATGTTTACATGTCGCTTCGTCGACTCAAGTCCGCTCAACGAGAAAATAAAGAAGTGTCTTTTTATGTTATCAGAGGCGCTGCCTACCAGCTTAGGGTTAGCTTGAGTTTATCAGGTGAAATGCTCCATGCTTCAGCAACACTCTGTCCAGACTAAACAACTCTTAACACACACACACACACACACACACGCGTTAATATGAGTTATAAAACATTTGACTTTAGTAGGTGAAAAACATCTGTGACCTTCCACGTCTTCCATCAAGTATAACTCAGTGATGAACCTGAGCAGCATCAGTCATGAAAATGGTGAACAGAGCCATTCATATAGAAAAGAGCTCCATAATCCAATACAGGTCAAAATGTTGCACGATACGTGCACATATCTTATCGTGCACGTATCGTGCACTTATCTATATCTACTTCACAGTACAAGCCACATTTTTACATTGAAAGAAAAACAAATCTTCTTTTGAAAATAACGCAGCTTGAACGTCAACATCTGTACGTTTCTCTACATGTGGGTTAAAAATGAAGACACTAAGGTTTTTTTACTCGTGAACCACTTCTATGTTGTTTCCTTCTGAGGTGGTCACTGAGTCACTGTTGTTTGCAACTGATTTCTAGATTTAGAAAACGGCACAGGTTTAATCTTATCTGCATTAAGAACAAGCTTCAGTTGTAATAATGAGTTGTGTAAAAGCTTTCTGCAAAGAATCAAGTGCCTGAGCAAGAGTTGATGCACAACAGTAAACAATCAGCATAAAGACGTGGATCTGTCGGATGTTGATTCACATCAGGTGTCTAGATACTGAACAAGAAACAAGATGAGACTCAGTAAAACAGACTGCAACATGTGCAGAGCTCAGCTTCACACGTGGCCTCAACGACTCCCTGTGTTTGTTTCAAAACTGGTAAATTCTTACCCATCCGTCCACCATCTTTACACGCTTCTTCCTTTTCGGGTCACGGTGGTCACTGGTGTCCATGTCCAGCAGTTACTGTGAAAGGCAGGGACACCCTGGACAGGTCTCCAGTCCATCACAGGGACACTTGGAGACAAACGAGACAATCAATCATTCACTCTCTCACTCACACCTAGAGACAATTTAGAGTTACCAATCAGTCTAACATGCATGTTTTATGTAGGGGTGCACGATATTATCAGCATGGTATCGGTCGATATTAGCGAAAAAGTTAAATATCGGACATCGGCTATTCCACCAAAATAACTCGCAGATATAAAAGGCACTGTCTTTTTAAATATACTTTATTATGTATTTATATAGTGTTCCATCATTTTCAGCCCCTTTTTGGCAACTGCGTTTGGTATCAGGCTAAACTGACAAAGACCATGCAGAATAATGTGTTTTAATTCCACAGCAGAGAAAGTTATGTAGTCTCTGTAAGTAAATGTAGGGGAAAATATCAGTATTGTTATCGGACAAATAACTTTTAACATATCAACATATCGGATATCGGCCAAAAATCCAATATTGTGCATCCGTAGTTTTTGGTCTGTTGGAGGAAACCAGAGTGCCTGGAGAAAACCCACGCATGCACAGAGAGAACATGCAAACTGCACTCAGAAATGTCTCCGGCTGTGATTTAAACTGGGACAACCTGCTCGCTGAGAGGCGGCAGCTCTACCAACTGCACCACCATGCTGCCTGTTAAATTCTTGTTTGTTTGCAAATAACTTCTGACCTGACATCCTCTGATGATCTCTTCCACTCTTCCTTTGCACACTTCTGTCCTTTTAGGCGCAGATGGTGGACCTCCATTCAGAGTTAACTGAGGTTAAAGCCGAGAAGACCGTGGTAGAAAAGGAGGTCCATGACCTGCTTCTGCAGCTTCATGCTCTTCAGCTGCAGCTCCGGGTCCAACAAGGCCAAGCCGAGGACTCTGACAGCATCAAAGAAAAACTGGTAGGGGGACCAAGAGTGTCCACGTAGCATCAGCACGTGCACTCTGCAGCACAACGCACAGTTACCTCACATTTAATTTGATTAGAATTTTCTCAGAGTAACCACCACCTCTCTGTCTCCTGCTGCCAATAATAATGTTCTGTGCTTGTGTGTCTTGTCTGTTAGCAAAATATTTAATGAACCACTGGACAAATGTTAATAAAATCCTCAAAAAGTAGTCATTGGATATACGTCAACAACCTTCTGGAGTTGACCCAATTTAAGATGGCCACCACAGCTAAGTGATCATAAGAACTTTGGCTTTAACTCTGTTTTACAGATCTGAACTAAAAGTTGACTTTAATATTTTTATGCTGAATGAAGACCTTTTTGAAAGCATAAAAATACACCAAAATGCCTAAACTTCATTGTGCACATAAAGAGTGATGACAGTTTGTTGTTCCCCATCACGGAGCAAAGAGTGGGGATTTTAACTAGCCTCTGTGTGTCCGTGCACGTTGTCAGCAGGTTACAATACTAATGGAAACTAAATGAGTTCCATTTTTGGTGTGTGGCTACTAGGTCTATCTCGATAAACAATAAATCAATCGCATGATAAATTAAAATTATCAACCTTATTTTCATTTATCGTCTCTATCGTTTCTTTGTCTCTCTCTTTCTACTGAAGACACTGGATGACAAAGTTCAACTCTGGTGCTCTTCACTGACTCCTCCCTTTCGTTTAAAATCTGTTTAACGATCCAAAATCGTGTTTTTGGATCGTTAAAAGCAGTTAAGCTACGAGCTAAGCTAACAGGTCGACCTCAGGGGAAAAAAACCTCTGTCTTGTCGAAGCTCCAAAATTCAAGGTTAAAACCCGTGCCTTCGTGTAAAAAGTTGTTTTTCTCTGCAAAAATAAGCTGAGAACTTCTTTACTGAATTTTTTTATTAAAAGCTTTGTGAAAAATGCTATGCTGAAGAGCTCAAACCACACCGAGCGTCCGTCATTTTGAGAACCGAAGAGAGACAGCCCATGTCACGTCAAGGGGTCTCCCATTTTTCTTAGAGACACTGCTCTCCCTCACTAACCAGCCTTCAGTTTAAACAGTCTTATACTGCCATCTGGTGGTGGAAAAAGGTACTACTCACAAAACAAACCACATTTCTTATTTAATCTGACATTTCAAACAATATCATTGTTTATCGCTATAATTTCTGAGACAATTAATCGCCCAGCAAAATTTGTTATCGTGACAGGTCTAGTGGCTACATCTAGGTATAAGCCTCACATCATTTGAGGAAACTCTGCTTTCTAATTCTTATTTGGCTTCAAAGTTTCCTCAAATGACTGAGGTGGCCCAAGATAAATCTATGGGGGCCAAGGCCACCATTAACACCGCCTGATTCTGCCTTTGTCGTGGATACAAGTTCTCCTTCCACATGCCAGGATCCACTTCCCTCTACGTACATTAAGGTTGCGTTCACTGTTCAAATCCCTCAGTGATGAGGACATCAGGTGCGTCTCATTATTGTAGGGAAGTTAAAAGTGTCTCTTCACCACTGTGTTGAGCCGTTGCCCCTCCCCACAGCTTCATGCACAGAAACACTCCCTGACTGGAGCTGAACTGTGAACCAGAGTGTGAACGTGCACGGTTTGCTTATATGGACACAAAAAAACATATTTTCCCTTCAAATGAACTTCTGTAAATGAGAGGAAACCTAGAGGTGAAGTACAAACTGATACAAAGAGCAATCTGACAGCCAGTCTGGGTCATAGAAGACCATTTGGCTCCAGTCTGGACTGGTCCACTCTTTAAACACCATTCTGCTTCTCAGCCTTGGAACCCAAATGTCATGAAAATAATTTACTGGTTGATTTTCTAAGAGATGAGAAGGTTTTGTTCCTTTGATACTTGCTGCTGTTTTTCTGGCTGGTCCTTTTCATCCACTGCTGCGTCTTCATCGTTTTACCTTCCTGACAGCTGTCTAACATTCGAACTGGTTCACACTCACATGGACCATTTTCTGGCACGATGATTTCTCTAATCTGTGGCTTCTTTCTGTTCTTCTGCTTGTTTATCCTAAAGCCTGCAGCTACATTAGAAAAAATGGTAAGTGTTTTGTTTTTTTATTGCTTTTTTTTGTTTTGTTTGCATGTGCTTTACCAAGAAATAGAATTTTGAGGAGGAATTAGTAAAGGTGGTATCTCACTGAGCTGCGACTCTTTGGTGAAGCGTTCATGAGGGACTGTCCAGACTGAAGGGTTCACAACTTCATGTGAGTCACAAAAACATGCAGCCCCATCACTTAAAAAAAAAGTTTAAATAATTTGTGCACTGACTTTTCTTTGAAACAGTCAAAACATCGTCATGGGTGTCTGTAACCAACGAGCACTAGAGCCGCAGTTTGACACTAAACAGGAGGTCTAACCAGGATGAGTCAGGTCCTCTGCACAGATTCTTCTTCTTGAAATGTTTCTTCTTTTATCCAAAAGACTTCTTCAGTCTGAGGAGCTGCAATAAACTCAGTCTTATGAACAGCATCTTCTCAAATTGGATCATCCAGTTTGCTGGTGACGGTCAGAACTAGCAGTTCATATGATCAAGGAGGACCGTCAGTCTAACAATGGATTGTTAGAGCCCTGGTGCCGCTTGCTAACAGGGGGCTGAGTGATACTAGCAATCACAGCATTGTAAGAGGGGGACAGTTGAACACAGAGGCCTCCGTCCCTGTTCAATGATGGACGGTTTCTCTTCACAAAGATGGCCTCCTTTACTCCTCTCAAACATCGTTCCTCTCTATAATAATAATAATGTGTTATGTATTGTCATCATTGTATGTTTCTATACAATGGCAAAATTGTGTCTCTGCATTTAACCCATCCACCACCAGGTGGAGCAGTGGGCGGCCTTTGGAGGCGCACAGGGAGCAACTGGGGATGGGGTGTCCTGCTCAGAGACACCACGAGATGTGCAGTGACCGGGGATGGAGCCCAGGACCTTCGGGTCCTGAGTCAACTGCCCTGCCCCGCCCCTACACCATCTCGGCCCCCGCTATCAATCCAGCATGTGAACATCTTCATCCCTGAACGAGTGACCTCTGGCCTGGAGATGAGTGTAGACCGCAGAGTCCTGGCCTGATGATGTTGCTCTTCTGTGTTGGGCCATCCTTTTGGCCATTGGCTGTTTAGTTTCCCCGATGTAAGACTGATCACCCTCCTGACACTGAACAGCATACACAATATTACTCTGTTTGTGTGGGGGGACTGGATCTTTGGGATGGACCAGTCTTTAATGTATTTTGGGGTTTAAAAGCCACTGGGACGTTGTGTTTAGAAAATAAACGTCTCAGTTTCTCAGAAACTTCCTCAACATACAGATCGACCACTGGTCTGGGTCTGGGTTCTGGCTGGAGTGAGCCATCAGACCGGAGGTTTTAAAACTATGCTGCTGATGAATAACGATAAAATAAAACTAATCCAGATCTGCCTATCTTCTGTGTAAAGTGTACTCCAGCAGATTAAATCATAAATGTGGGGGCGACTGCTGTGATGTCAGAGAGTAGACTGGTGGGTAACAATAAACTGTGCACAGACAGGAATGCAGTTGTTCCAGCCATGCACACACAAATCTGCAACTTATAAAAACTGGCAGCTCAGAACGCAGCCCTGTGGCTTGCCGGTCACTGACAAAGGAAATGTTCCTTTTTTCTTTCAATTGTACTCCAACTTTAAATCAGTAACAAGTCTCTGAAGAGTTGCAGCGGTGAGGAACCACCTTTAGTTCTCTCCTTCAACACAGCTTGTCTTGTTCTGTCTGGCAGGAACTAAAGTGTAGTTTATAGAAGCTTACTGACACCGCTGCATCTGCTCGCTGCTTTTATCAATGAATGACACCACGCTCGCTTTCCTTACACACCTGATCTGTGAAATCAGGTGAATCTTGCACAAATACTAATTCATGTTTATGGTGAAACTAATTAGGTTCATGATAGTGTATAGTAGTGTTGTGGCTGGATATTTCCAAGATTTATAATGTGTACAACAGTCTGTGTGTAACTGTGGGTAGGCGATAAACAATAAATCAATAAATCGCATGATAAATTAAAATTATCAACCTGATTTTCTTTTATCGAATTTATCGTTTCTTCGTGTCTCTTTCTACTGAAGACACTGGATGACAAAAGTCTCAACTCTGGTGCTATGACCCCTCCCTTTCTCTTTTCTCTTTAAAATATGTTTTAACCATCTAAAATGACTTTTTTTGATGGTTAAAAGTTGCTAAGCTAAGAAGCTAAGCTAACAGGCCGACCTCAGGAAAAAACCTTCGTCTTGTCGAAGCTCCAAAATTCACAGTTCAAACTTGTGCCTTTGTGTAAAAAGTTGTTTTTCTCTGCAAAAAGAAGCTGAGAACTTGTTTACTGATTTTTTTTTTTTAATTAAAAGCTTTGCGTGAAAAATGCTGTGCTAAAGAGCTCAAACCACATTGAGCCATTTTGAGAACCGAAAAAATGGACAGCCCATGTCATGTCAAGGGGCCTCCCTCCCATTTTTCTTCGAGACATGATGCTCGCTCCCTTACTATCCATCCTTCTGTTCAAACTGTCTTTTACTGCCATCTGGTGGTCAAAATAAGCTACTACACACAAAAATTAACCAACATTTCTTCTTAAATTTGACAGACAATAATTACTAATTATTGTCAAATTTCAAACAATATTATCGTTTATCGCAATAATTTCTGAGACAATTAATTGCCCAGCAAAATTTGTTAGTGACAGACCTAACTGGGGATTATTGGAAGTGTGTATTAGTTTCCACACTCAAATATCAATCATCAGTCCCAGCAACAATGTCCAGCTCCTCCTCAGGATCCCAAAGAGTTCCCTGGCCTGAAAGAATACAGAATCTTTCCAGAGAGTTCTGGGTCTCATCCAGGTGGGTAAACATCTTGTTCAGCTGTCTGAACCACTTCAGCTGAGGTTTTTAATATATATATTTGATAAGAACAGCAGGTCTGATCTTAACCCTTACCACTTTGTCAAACCTGGAAAGTTTAAAAAGGAACTATAAAATAAAAAGGTGGGTGTTTTACTATTTATTCTCCAAACTTTCTCCATGCTGGAGGTTTTGCTGCAGAAGTTAAAGTCTCTCTGACCATCCTGTATCTGTCAGTTGCTTCAGGGGTCCTCCGTGACATGCCAGCCCTACAGGCTCCTCCTTTTAGCTCGATGACCTCCATCACTGCTGTGTTTACTCTGGTTGCCCTGGCAACAAGCACCAGTTACCTTCTGTCCACAGCTTCTGGAAGCTATGATTCCATGTCCCTGACCTCCATCGAGATGTGAGAAAACCCACTTCCAGAGGTGTGCTCTCACAGAAAAGGACAATCCCAGTTGGCCCTCATGGTTTGTTTAGATTTATTGGGGATGTCTGGTAGCCTGTCCTGTCACCAGATCCAACTCATCATCAGGTGATGATCAGTGGACCACTCTGCTCCTCACTTTACTTGAGTATCCAAGACACCATAGGCCTGAAGATACGATTACGAAGTTTGTACCAGGCCACACTGACCTCTTGACCTGAGGTGACCTGGTGCCAAGTCCACATGGGTTCTGCACCACACCGCACGAGTTAAGGGCCTTGCCACTGCCAGTAGCTCCCCCCACACTGATGTCAAGTGCTCTCTGATAAATGCTCTGCACAGTGAGGACACTTTCAACTCACAAAGTAAAAAACAAAAACACTATTTTATAAATATTTTATACAAGCGAGAGTCAATAAAGAGCAGGTGTAAGGGACCACAACGCTGGAGATAAGGATGTGGAGCCTGATTTACAAAAAGGTCAATTCGTTAAAATAAAGTTTATTTTCTTATGTTACAGCCTTTGACTTGTCCTGCCTAACGTTTTGCACAGTTCTGTACCTGATGTAGTAATCCACCTGCATCCTGTCGTGATGTGAACAGGAGCAGGAGCTGGAGGCCAGCAGGAAGGAGAAGCTAACCGAGGCCAGGCTGGAGGCTGAAGTTCGGCTGTTTAAGAAGGAGAATGAAGCCCTGCGCAGACACATCGCAGTCCTGCAGGCCGAGGTGTACGGAGCCCGACTGGCAGCCAAGTACCTGGACAAGGAGCTGGCGGGCAGGTGAGACCGGGGGTCACACAGATCCAGGTTACAGCTGAGAAAATGTTCTGTTGATCTGACAGCGATGATCAGCACCACTGGAGTCCACACGGAGTCCACACGGGGTCCACACGGAGTCCACACGGAGTCCACCATGCTCTTCTGCTTTGGAAATATTCAACCAACAAACGGCACTAAAAACAAACACACACACCTGAACTGTACTGAAAAGAAGTTACAATGGCAAAGATAACCTTTGTATTTTGTTACTTTATAAATTAGATTTCCAGTTTTAGATAAAGTAATAATTCTACAAAAATACTTATTTAATTACTAGTATTCTTCAAATATTCCAGAGTAAAACTTGCTGTGTGTGTTCAGCCCGTTTGATCTGAAGCTTCAGAATCCACAGCAGCAGTGAAATCAGCTCCACCTCAGGTCAGATGTTCTCCACTTAGATCCACTGGTTCTGACTGCCCCCAGGACTAACACCAACTCCAAGTAGTTCAGGCTACCACCAAGTAGGAGACATCATGAAGACCAAGGAACATGTCTGAGACAGAGTTGTGAAGAACAGATCAGAGTTGGTTTTAAAAATGTCCCAAACCCTGAACACCCCTCAGAGCTCCATTTAATCCATTACTGGGAAACGGAAAGATTCAGAGATTCTTTATTGTCCTTTGCACCCCACGTGGTACATGTGGTGGAACAAAATTATGTACTCAGGGTCCCAGTGACATCCAACAAGAAAATGTAAAAGAAAAACAGTAATAAGATCTAAGATATGAAGTAAGAAAAACATTAACTAGATATACACTAAGCACTAATAGCATAAAAACAATACGCCAAACAGCAGCACGGTGAAAAGATGATGTCACCACAACAACCTGCTGACAGACGCTCGTCCACCAAGACTCGGAGTGAGTTTAATAAATGTCCAGGAGGACAGAGTCCTGATGGAGCTGTGAGATGGAGGATCTGTGCTGAGGACTACTGCTCAGAGCTGGACCTCATAAACGAGTGGACGGGGAGAAGACACTGACTGGAGGAAAAATAAAACTGGTCTCCTTGAAATTTCTTCTCCAAACGAGTTTTTTTTTTTTTTTGGGGGGGGGGGGGGGGGGGTGTTGTCTTTTCTATAAAATCACACACACTAGTTTTAAAGGTTTGTTTGATGTGTGAGAGTGCAGACAACCTCTCACGACTTAAAGCTGACCTGAAAGGCCTAATCTCACGTAGACCTCTTTGTCCCGTGTTTCAGAGTCCAGCAGATCCAGTTACTGGGTCGGGACATGAAAGGACCGGCCCATGACAAGTTGTGGAACCAGCTGGAGGCCGAGATTCACCTTCATCGCCACAAGACGGTGATCCGTGCGTGCAGAGGCCGCAGCGATCCGAAGAAACCCCTTCCTTCTCCTGCGGGTCATGTAAGTGTGAAACCACAGAACTGCTGGAACCGCTCACGTGTGGTCTGGGCTCAAAGTTGACCTGCTGATGTGATCACAGGACCCAGACATGCTGAAGAAGAGCCAGGGGGTGGGCCCCATCAGGAAGGTGGTTCTGATGAAAGAGGACCATGAAGGCCTGGGAATCTCCATCACAGTAAGAACAACCTGAGGGACATTATGGACATGTGGGGTTGGACTGTGAAGGGACATGTCCTGGATTCTTCTTGTTGAAACATTTCGTCTTTTATCCAAAAGACTTCTTCTGCAACAAACTCAGTCCTATAAACAGCTCCTTCTCATAGTGGATCAACTGAATTGAACAGTCGCCCTCAACTTTAACAAGAACTTAACAAGATTAACACCTAAAAACAATTATTTGTTTGCTCGACATTATAGCAAAGGTGTGTCTCAGTTAAACTTTTCCTTAATAATTGCTTTTTAATGGTCAAACCAGCTGCATTTCTCCTGGGTGGAGAAATGCAGCTGGTTTGACGTTTGCTTCAGGAGTTCCAGAGTGAGATGAAGGTGGCTTGGTATGGCAAGCCAAGTGTCTCATTAATGGCCACTTTTACCTATTAATGAGACACTTGGCTTGCCATAAGGCTTGAGGGCCCTCTAGTGGCTGAAAATGGTGTTCAATATTTTCCATGTCAGAATGAATGAAATCATCAGAAAAATTGAGTTATAAATATGGAGGAAAAAACGCATTAGTCGCTTCGGTGTGTAATTCACATGACTTGCAAATTTATGCATAAAGGTGCGACTTATACGGCGAAAAATATGGCAAGTGTGGTTTTCTGACAAAAGCACTTCTACAGTAAAAGTGTTGAGGAATTTTGGTCAAGGTTCGTGGATGTTTGAGAAAGTTAACTGCCCATGAACCATGTGTTTGAGTTCTCAGAGAGAGCAGGATGAGGAGCTGATTTGATCCTGCAGGCGCAGCTGGCAGTCCAATGTGTCTGGGAGCTGATAAGTGTATGAAAACAAGCCTCGCACACTGCACGTGGCAGATCCTCCTGACTGCGTGCAAACTTCTGTACGTCTGTGTAACCTGTTGTGAAAATCTGCCCTTGCACGTAAAACCAGTTAAACACCTCCTGTCATCGAGTGTGGCTTCTTTGAGGTAGTAAGATAAGTAGAGGATATTTTTATCCAACAAAAAGTACTGACAAATGAACTGCCTCTGCCGGCTGCTCCTCAAAACTGTCCTCTTTGCTTGTGGGTACAACAGCTGGATTGTGGCAGCGGAGAAGATGAAGCGAAACGACAAAGTTGCTGTTCGATAGAGTTGCATTCGGGCCCAAAAAATCCGATCCAACCCGTAGCCATAATTTCCGAACCCCATCCAATCCGACAAATTAACATAATTGCAGGTCTGAAACACCCCCCCCCCCCCCAACATTTTAAATTAAGCTTTGACTGCTTATAGAGTTATAACGGTCGGCGGGCTGAATAAAAGTGGCAGAAGATCGGAGCTGAGGGGGGGTTTGTCCTTTCATGGCCATCAAAGATCATTAAATCCCTGCTTCTGCTGCATTCTGCATTATTCATACACAGACCCTGCTCTGACATGTCTGCTTTGGGCTCTCACCTGTTAGGGTCGTCGGCCGCACTCGTCCGCTGAGTGCAGCGGCTGAACGTCCATTTGGGCGATGGATCACTTCCTGGCAGTACAGTCCCATCTGAAGCTTAACTGAACTTTATCTTACCTCCAAGTCCGGTCAGCACACGGTCAAATGGCCGCGTGCGGCTGATGATTGTATGCAAGCCATGTTGCTATATAATTGGATCATCAGCCGCACGCGCCCGCTGACGCAATCAAAAGCCTGACACCGACCCAGCCCGCCCCTCCAGCACATCATTATGGCCCGGCCCAAATTCGGGCCAGGCTTCGGGCCTGGGTTAGAAATGACAGCTCTACTGTCCGAGCGTGTTTCCGCATAAACAAACACACCCACAGACTTTGACCAGTCACACAATACTTGGCACAGACTCCTGTGAGAAAAAGTTCAGCCAAGGCTTTGTGTTGAGCAGAGCGTGTGAAGCTGCTTTGTGAACAAAATGACATCATTTTCATCACGCAACTACGACGATGAGACGACTTCAGTGCTTCAGGTTGAGTATGCTGGGCCCTTCAGCCCTCTGTGAACAGCAAGCAGCCATCAGAGCACTAATGATTGGTCAATAAGCTGATGGGCCTCGTTTATCATGTGAACAGCTAGTTCTGGATGTCAACATCAAACTGCTTGATCCACTATGAGACAGTGATATTTATAATACTGAGTTTGTTGCAGCTCCTCAGACTGAAGAAGTGTTTTGGATAAGACAAAATAACAAAGTCCATGCTCAATAATCCAGGTATACAATCCAACATTTTTCAGTCAGGTCATCTGGACAGTTTCTTTTTTTTTTTTTTTTTTTGTGCTGAAACGTTTCACCTTCGATCCAGAAGGCTTCATCAGTCAAGGAAACACACAACAAAACTGATTCTTCCCCCAACAGCTTAGAACAAACCAGTTCTGCTTGTGATAAGATGGTCTCTTTGGTACGCCCCCTCCTCCATTGCCGGCCCTCTTCCTTGTTGACAGTCTTGTCAAACTGGTTGAAAACAACAAAAACAAAACAAAAACTGGTTGTGTGTTTCCTGGACTGATGAAGCCTTCCGGACCGAAGGCGAAACGTTTCAGCACAAAAAAAAAGAAAAACTGTCCAGATGACCTGACTGAAAAATGTTGAATAAGACAAAATGTTCCAACAAGAAGAATATGTCCAGAGGACCTGACTTTATTTTGTGAGATTGATCTACCTGGATTATTGAGCAGCATCAGGATATTCTGCATGAAGTCAGTTTGTTGAGTAACTACCAGTAGTTAATGTTTGTATTTTATTTGTCAAGTTTAACCACAATTTGAATTCAGGGATGTTTTCATTTAATCAGTCAGGTTAATAAATATACAGACTTAGTGTTTTGATCCTGAAGAACAATCTTCCTGTTTAACATGTTTTTTAATTTGCATGATTTTTAGCTCAAGAAATAGCTGTTTAAAACCTTTAACCTTGAATAAACTCAAAGCAAACTCCTCCTAATGAGCTTAAACCAGGAAGGACTGAGCAACACGACTCCACCGTTTGTTCAGCAAAGTGATTTTCACATTATGGAACAGAGTCGGTCAGTGAACTTCATCTGTGTGTGTGTGTGTGTCCGTGCAGGGGGGGAAGGAGCACGGAGTCCCCATCCTGATCTCTGAGATCCATCCCAGTCAGCCTGCAGACAGGTGTGGAGGTCTGCATGTGGGAGATGCCATTCTGGCTGTCAACAGTATCAACCTGAGAGATGCTAAACACAAAGAGGCTGTCACCATCCTGTCCCAGCAGGTAACACACACCTCACACACACACCAGCTCACTGCTAGCTGCTGCAGAAGCACTCACGGTCTGTGTGTGTGTTAGCGAGGACAGATAGAGTTTGAGGTGGTGTATGTGGCTCCAGAAGTGGACAGTGATGATGAGAACGTGGAGTATGAGGACGACACTGGTCATCGGTACCGACTCTACCTGGATGAACTGGAGGACAGCAGTGGTGCCGCGCCCCCCAACAACAGCTCCGCCTCCCTGCAGGGTGAGTTTAACTCGTACATCCAGGATGGAAACCTGTTGGCTACAAGTGGAAGGGAAAAATGAACTATAGTGGGAACAACCTGTAGACGGAGCAGGTCCCTTCCGGATGATCCACTGATGAACATGACTGGAATCATGTTTTCATGTTTAAAAGACTAAAACTTTGGGCTTGAAATATTGTTTTTTCAGTCTACACTCACGGACAAATGTTATCGTAATTGCCTGTCTATAAAACGCAGCTGACTGTAATCCGTACATATTAAATTTAAGATAAAACATAATTTTGTACATAAATAAGATGCTCGGGTTATTAAGCCGTGGGTATCCACCATTCATTATCAGTCTGTGCCCAGCTCCTGGCATTATGTGCAGATGTTGTTGTAGTACAAGAATCAGCCAGCAGATGGCGTTTCACAGACTACAGCTTGTTGATCCATCATGTCTTCATGATGCTTCACTGTCTGACTCATTGTTAAAACCATTGAACATACAAAATGAACACAAAAACGATGTAATCACAATCACTGTACAGAGCAGTGCCAAACAACTATGTAACCAAAATGATTTAAAAATTATATACCAGTAAATATTACCCAGAAGTCTTATTGAGGTCATGTGACCATGAGTCACATTAATGCACTGGTAAATAATATTCATTAAATTGAACAATAAAAATCAATGGTACTAACACTTTTGGTAACAGCTGCAGTTTTTAAATAGACTTTCTAAATGCATTTGACATGATTTCTGCTCAGCGGAGCCCACATGAGGGGGAGCCCCTCCCTCTCATTGTCTCCACTCCGTTTCATGTGTTCGGATGTGAGCTTAAATTAAATACCCACCAGCATTTAAACACATTTACTGTACACAGAAAGATGTCACAGAAAGAATTTTAAAACTTTTATTAAAATATGTACCAGTCTTGACTGCTTTAAAAATAAATGTTGACGACTTCTGCTCAGCGGAGCCACGTGACCCAGGAGGAGGGGAACAGCCGGTAAAATGTTTTTTTTTTTCTGAAAAATGCCTTTAACACAGTTAAAAACATAAAAAGTACGGGTAGTCAACCAAAAGTCACTCATTGCCATGTTGTTCTTCCTCATGTGAACTAAAATCCTCTTCGAGACTCTGAAAAACGTCATCACACATCGCCTCCGTGTCGCTCTCAGCAGCTGTTTCCTTCTTCGACAGCCAGGTCGATCACTTTTAACTTGAAAGCTGCATCGTAAGAACTTCTCTGTGTTTTCCATTATCGCTGCAGATGATCAGTCTGTGCATGAGGCGCAAAATATGGTAACGATCTGAAGAAATTAATGCACGTCTGTCTTGGGGGATGGTCCTCGAGAGTACTGTACCTCATTGGTCGTTCAGGTTAGACTTCTGGTCACATGATGACAGAGTGGGTGGAGTTATGGTAGGAAAATTGAAACCCTGAGCAACAGTCGTTGTACATGTGGATACCTGAGGGCATTCCCTGTGTGTCACAAAAGCTCGTGCCCAAGAGGGGTGGGTGCAGTGTTGCCAGGTGTACGATAATTATCGTATTTTTACGGCCATTTTGCCCTCTGTATGATGTACGATCCTACAAGTTTGCTTTTTTTAAAAATTTATTTGCGTTTGCCTCAGAACAATGGCCATGATTGGATGAATAGTCCGCTGCGCCTGCCCCATGAGTGAGGAAAAGAAAAAAAGAAGAAACAGAGCCGGTCTGGAAGCGGACCCATCACTACTATAGTGCATCAATAGATTTGTTATTTTGGTTATGACGGGTGTACGATAATTTCCCTCAAAATACGATAATTTTATGTCTCTAGTATGATAATCCTACATTTCTCACCTGTCAACACTGGGTGGGCGCCCGGCAGCTATATGAGCGTCCAACTCTGTCAAAAGGAAATATTATTCAGCGGCAAGAAGTCTGTTGAAATAAACCATAAAAATTATTAAAATTGTGGGGAAAAAAAGCACAAATTAGCAGCTTCTGCATATAAACCACGGGGCACAAAGTGTGAGAAAATGTAGTGGCTTGTACGCCGGCTATTATGGTACTTAAAGTCTTTTACTACGGCTGACTTTCTTTCATGGCAGCAATAAAAGCATAAAACTACGGAGCTCAGGAGGGGACATGGGGGATTTTTTTTCCTCCTTTTGCGTTCTCTCGCAATACTTTGCATTCCCACGCAAACGTTATTGCGTTCCCTCACAATACTGTACTGTATGTAGTGTTATGTCACAGACAACAGCAACAATGGAACAGACACCCATATTTGAGGTTCATGGAGTTTGTGACTTGGCGCTAGGAATGTGTGATATATACGGTATACTAGAAACTATAGACATTTAGCCTACGATAGAGATCTGTCTTCTACCAGCTAACCGCAGTAATGCTGTGTCTGGTGTAAAATCAGAGTTGTCAGATTTAATCGTTACTTTTTTTTTGTTGAATAAGTGGTGTTGGTCTTTTCTTCGAGAGCTAAGTAGCGAAGCTACAAGTTATCTACGGCCGGCTTGCCATAGTGTTGCCATATTCGGATGCATGCACAAAACATTGTGTTCCGTCGAAAGTTAAAGTAAAGCCCCCAGTATACTGCCGCGTACGTCTTTACGCAGAGGTACGCACGTACGTATGCAGAGGTACGAGCGTACCCCCCGGGGCATGTCCGTGCAAAGCTCAAATTTTTACGACCGCATACGCGTACGCATTGTCGCACAATAAACTGCCCTGCGACGGACTGTTTTGTATGTGACACCAATGTATTAAATTCCCCTTCTTCATCCCTGATCTGGCCTTTTACTTTATTTTGCCAAGAGGCAAGTGATCTCTTCCTCCTCTGTTGATGCCATGACTGAAATGGTGAGAAATGAAGGAATTTGTCACAAGCAAATTAAACTCTGGTCCAGCGTGGCTGCGGGAGGGTCTGGAGATTTCCTGGTGGGCTGGTCTGATGTGTGGGCTGTAGAGCCAGCGCTCCCTGTTTTTTTTTTTTTAAATATCTTTATATAAACACAGAACACCGCTGCTGCTGCCAGCGCACGCTTTTTTCCCCCCGACCTGTCAATCAATCCAGTAGGCGTGTCAGCAAATGACCAATCGGCGACCTCAATTTGTCCCGAAGGTAAACGCCCCTTGTCTGTAAGCTGCTCTGCAGCTGCTCGGGGTGTATGCTGAAGTAAGATGTCTGAACCCTCTGCGTACAGTACACGCATATGTACGCGTGAACGGACGGACGCAGCAGTATACTGGGGGCTTAAGCGTTGGTCAGCTTTAGAGAAACCTGCTCTCTGATCTATGAAAAGAACACTGTGGTGTGTGATTTTACTGCAAGACCCTCTGGCCAGAGCCACAGAGGAAACAGGTCGCCATTTTGTGTCAGCTCTCCTTAAAACGGAAGGAGACGCCCACTAGAGGTTTGGAGAGTGAAGTGTTTCAGTGTAACATGCTGCTCTGTTGCTGTTCATTTCTTAAGTGAGAAGACTGGAAACTGTTAAGAGTTAACAACATATTATTTTGTTTGAAACATATGGCTAAAGCTACATTTGATATCTTTTGCGCTGTTTTGCAAGAAGCCTTAATACTTAATTTGTTTATTATTTAAAAACTCTCTGGACCTAGTAGGGTAATTTTCTTAACTGAGATTATTTTGTGATATAGCAGTTTTCAAAATAAATGATGGCAAAAGGACACCCTATGCTTTTTTTTCATTCCTATTGCAAGTTTTATACCAAAAACATCGTAATATATATCGTTATCGCCACCATTCACAATACATATCGTGATATGAATTTTATGCCATATCGCACATTCCTACTTGGTGCTATATAAACAAACTGCATTGAATTGAATTTTGAAATCAGTCTTAAATGTAAGAATATCCAGTGTGTGCTGCAGTGGTAAAATTAATTTTACGTTGGATATTTCACGTTCATGCTCCGTGGATTCAGCGTGTCTTCCTCGTTCGAGCTGACGCAGGAGCCTGATTTCTTCAGCTGCTCTCACTCCGAGGAGCGATGGTTCGCTTGGGGACCGTCAACAATTACTGTATTTTCAGAGTATTTGTCAAAGCAGCACCATGTATCTTAACTAAAGTTTTCTCAGTATATTTCTGCATGGTAATAAATCATGAATTATCATCATCTCGTGGCTCAATGAGACTAACCTGGATAAATAAAGGCTAAATGAAAAATTTAAAATTGATTGATTGATTGATTGATTGATTTTTATTGTCAATTCTGCATATGTACAGGACATACATAGAAATTGAAATTGCGTTACACTCCTACTCAAATTGCAGCAAACAACAACATTAGCAAAAATAAACTAACACAACTAGTTATATAAAAAAATATAAAAAAATATAAAAGTGAACAGCAGCAGGACCTCTGATGCAACGTGCTCAATAGTGACTAACAGGAGACAAAGGGACGCTGACTGAAGACAATAACATGATGAGAGGTAGATAATGGATGTGCAAGGCCAGAGTAAACAATAGTGCAATATAAAGTATAAACCTGAGAAACTTAGTAAAGTGAAGGTGTGCATACCGGTTCTATATAGAGTCACAGTTATGTACTGATGAGGTGATTAAGTGGAAATGACAATACCAGAATTACCAGAATAAAGAATAAACAGGACGAGTTGATCATAACAGTAGTGCAAAATATAATGCAATAAACAGTAGAGTGAGCTTGTAGGCTGTTAAAGTGACCGATTCATGAACTATTCATAAAACTAAATAAATGTCCCAGAGCAGTTTTGAAGGGGGGGGGG